CTTTGAATTAAAACGGGAACTCTACTTTCTCTTATTTTACTTTGGTTATATTTTATTCCAATACAATCATAAATGAGGGATACATCAAGAAGCTATGCCTTTAAAAGTAAATTAGCCTAAGTGATTTTGACATTAAATGCAGTCACATTTGCACATGAAACATGAACACTCAGGAGGTGACTCATTCATTGATTAGCGATTTTTTCAATCAGGACACGAGGCAAAACAATCGACTTCAAAGCAGCTCTCAAATCAGAGCTGCCTGGGAAGAGAAACAGCTCCTCTCGTGCTTGTGAACTCCCTTTGCAATCCAGCCACGAGCAGATGTGCAGTGCTTTGAAGAGCTGAACCAGACACCTCCCATTACTGCCCTGCTTTTGAAAGCAACCCAACCTGGCATTCACTGTCACATCGCATTAAATTAAATTTATTGATAACTTGCAGCTGCCATTTCACTGTAAAATCAGGCAGGCTTGGCTGAAGTTACCCTCACCCCATCACCTCACTGCTCTCCACACGTGGCTGAAGAAACAGCCCCAGCCTCTCTCTAAGCCTGTGCTGATGCCACTGGGCTCTCACCTTGCTGGGCTTGTCGCTCTGAGGATCAAACACTTTGTCACAAAGGCGAAGGCCGGTCTCTTGCCTCAGCTGCTGCAGGTAGGCCCTCATCACCTCTGAAAGCAGCACAGCAAAACCAGGGTGAATGGGCAGCACCAACCCAAACTGGATTTAACAGGGATTTAACACATCAGACATCCCTGCTTAAAGCAGAGAGGGAGTTTCACATCTGCAGGCTGCAGCTGGCTGAGCTGATAAGCTCGGTTTATCTACGGAACATGGGGGATCCTCAAGGTCAGAAAATCCAGCTTGTGCTGCCTTCAGAAGACAGACTGCAGATTTAGAAGATTTAGGTTTGAAGTAATTTGTCTAACTGCAGTCCCAAAAGTGCAGTTAATGAAGTGTGACCCTCAGAAGCCCTGGGTCAGCCTTACCTTCCTCCTGCTTGTTGGCAGGTTTGGCGTAGATGGCGTTCAGCGGAAAGCCAGGCTCCCCTGGGATTGGGAAGTTTGTGATTCCCAGGGTGTACATTTCCTTCTCTCCCTGGCCTTTGGAGTTACACTGGAAGAACCAGGCAAACAGAGGGTGAGCAGTGATGAACAAAAGCTGACAGAGCGTTAGACCCAAATATTTTACAAATCTGGAACATGAAAACTCATCAAGAAGAGCAACACAGCACACCCACAGCCTTGGAGTATTTGAGGCTCTGACAACGGGGTCTGGGGTGAACGGGATTATTTGTTCCCCTGGAAGGAGAATATCAGGAAATCCTTTCCTTAGAACAACCCTCAGAAGAGACTGTTTCCCACCTGCACAGGAATTCAGCTTTCTCACCTTTTGCAGCTTCTTCAGACACTCAGAAATGTAGAGGGTCACATAGATCAGAGTTCTGTCAGCCTCGTTCTGCAAAACAAGAGCAGCAACTCTTAGATTCCAGGACTTTGTGGAACTGATAAAGTCTGAAACAGGAATGAATTCAAATCACTTTGGGCTCTAGTTTCCCCATGAGAGAGAGAGATTTGCAATTCATGACATTTACCCAGCTTTAAAGATTAAGTGGGAGGGGAAGGGGAGTTTTTGTGATCTTCTAGAATTACTTCCTTGAAAATAAATTTATATTCACAGCACCAACCCTCCAAAGAACTAGAATATGCTCAGGATCTCACAAAATTACCTTAATTTCGTAATTTTTGAAGAAAACATTAGCTTTGAAGTAGTAGATGGCTTCATCTATAATATCTGTGTCCTTAGCTATAAAAAAAGAGATAAAGAGTTAAGCAGTGCACTATTACACTACATTTGTACTTTTACTCACTGAAGTACATAAATAAGGATTATTGCAAAAGCAAAACCATGGTATTTACAAAAAGCAGAAGTCAGCACCAGATAACAGAAAACTTCTGAAACACCATGAGTTTAGACTGTAATATTTGAGCTTCCTACTCTCTTCTCCTTCCCCTCTGACATGTCACTTCACAAACAGCAGCAGTTCAGCAGTTCCCCACTTTTGAGTAACTCATCAGAGTTTTAACATCATAAAAGGATAGAAAAATAGTTTCTGGAGAAAGCACAATCACTCAGATGCCATTATCCTCCTCAAATAAAGGAGGGGAGCAGAACACAGCCACAATCAGTGACAATCTGACTTCTGCTACCATCCAAGACTGCTTAAATCCAGAAACACTCCCTTTCCATTTCCCTGTTCAAACTGAACCCACATTTCTGGGGAACACCAGGCCTGGGAAGCTCAGGACAGAAGGGGAATCTGTCCTGGCTGCCTGTGGGCCTGTCGGGGTGCCTGGAACTGCAGACTTTGAAGCCCCACACCCGTCAGTGCTGCTGTCCCTCAGAGCACGAGCTCTCTGTGGCTGAACCTCCACTTCCTCTGCCACAGAGGCTTCACACCTCCTCAAAACCCTGCTCGGGAGCACAGGGGGAAGCACCACAACAGCAACCAGAGGCTTGGTTACTGAAACCACTAACTCAACACGAGGCACAGTTAGCTGTGCATAATTATTTTCTACGATTTGCACAGCTGAAGTGGTTGAAAACTTCCACTTCCCACCAGTGACTCTTGCTGGGGCTGGCTTAGATCAACCCCTGAGGTGATGAGCTACATCCAGTTAATTCAGAGATTATTATAAACTTACTTTCTCGAGGTGCTGGGCCCTTGAACTGGCTTCTGATGGGTAACAGTGCCATGTTCCCAATTAGCTTGGTGTCTGAGTCCATTAAAGTGGAGTGGTAAGCCTAGAGACAGGGAGAGCTGGTTATTGATCCTACTGAAAATAGACATTTCCATATCCAATCATGTGTCTTCATCAAGCAGGAGTCACAGCCTAGTTCATTATGATGCTTCCAGCATTTTTTCCTTGCACAAACAACTGCTATTTTCTATTTGGGTCCAGATCTTGGTGCTATTCTGGTGAAGATCAGGAAAGCACTGGGAAATGGGATAAAATCTGTATTGTTGGTCTGCAGGCACAGTGCATCCCCAGGCTGCCTGACCCCATCCTGGCAGTTCCAAGGGGTAACAGCCCCACTTACCCACCTGAGTTTTGGGGAATTGCACTGAAAGTTAGTTGGTCATTAAAAAATATGTAATTTATTTCCATGTCTGGCTATTAATAGTAGATAATTATAAATAAAGCCAGGCTTAATGCAGTAAAAAAAAATCCCAACAAAACCGATTTAAGTGAAAAACAAACCAGCTTTCTGCATACAACAAATCCTTCCTGGAAAACCGATTCTAAACAACTAATGAGCTCAGTTTCAGGCACTTTCCAAGGCGCTGTGCCAGGCCACGGGGAACCCCTCACCTTTTGTGGGGGGCAGAGGAGGATGTGACTGCGAGAGGCTGGGTGTAAAAAGCAGTTTATTTCACTGGGAGGAAGGTGGTGCGAACACAGGCAGAGCAAAGCCCTGCTGCGGCCGCCCTCTCCCCCGGGTGGATCCCTGGCAGGAGAGGAGGAAGAGGAAGAGGAGGAAGAGGAAGAGGAAGAAGAGGAAGAAGAGGAAGAGGAAGGCGCCGGCCTTGCAGCAGCCTCCCACGCAGAGCCGCTCCCCGCTCTCGGCGGCGCTCCCCGCAGCTGCAGCCCCTCTTTGCCCCCGCAGACCCCGCGGCCAGCAGAGCCCCTTCCCCGGCCGGGATCGGCCCCGCCGCCCCGCGCCCTCCTGCCCGCGCCGCGGAGCCGCGGAGCCGCTCACCGGCATCTCGAAGGGCAGCAGGCGGCTCGGCGGAGCCGGGCGGGAGGGGAACGGGGCGAAGCGGCCAGCGAAGCGGGCACAGAGCTTCCTGCTCCGCCTGCGCTGCAGGAAATGAGGCAGCGGCAGAGGCGGTGCGAGGAGGGGAGGCGGGAGCCGCGCACCGCCCCGGAGGCAGCGCTGTGTCTGTACGGGAACGGCCGGGAGAGGCACTGCCGGTACCGGGAGGAATCCCGGGAGGCAGAGCTGTGTCTGTACGGGAACGGCCGGGGAGGCACTGCCGGTACCGGGAAGGAATCCCGGGAGGCAGAGCTGTGTCTGTACGGGAACGGCCGGGAGAGGCACTGCCGGTACCGGGAGGAATCCCGGGAGGCAGAGCTGTGTCTGTACGGGAACGGCCGGGAGAGGCACTGCCGGTACCGGGAGGAATCCCGGGAGGCAGCGCTGTGCCCTACAGGAACGGCCAGGAGAGGCACTGCTCTGCCAGGGCACTGCCGGTACCGGGAGGGGAACGGCCAGGACAGGCACTGCTCTGCCAGGGCACTGCCGGTACCGGGAGGGGAACGGCCAGGACAGGCACTGCTCTGCCAGGGCACTGCCGGTACCGGGAGGGGAACGGCCAGGACAGGCACTGCTCTGCCAGGGCACTGCCGGTACCGGGAGGGTCCCGGGAGGCAGCGCTTTTGGCGGGGCAGGGGTGCCGGGATGCTGCGCTCGCAGCTCTTTTCTCTCCCGTGCGTCTCCAGCCCAGCCCAGCCGGGGCAGTTCGTGTACGGAAGCACCAGAGGGGTCCAAGGTGCTGTGTTCCGAGGGATGCAGTACTTTAAGGTGCACGCTCCAATTGCTGTCAGGCCATTACCTTCCGAGACCCAGCGTTGCTGAAACTGCCCCTGGTATCTCATGACTCCCGGTGTGAGTCAGGGAGACAAAACGGGGAGGTTTGGAAGGCGAGTCACAATAATTCAGCTGCAGGGCTGGGGTTTATCCTTTCAACACGCCCAAAGTCACCTCCAGACTGCCTTAGCATGAGCACCCTGCTCATCCCAAGGCAGTCTCGAGGTCAATTAAACCTCTGTAGTTTCCCCAACTTTTGAATAGTTTAATTCAGCCAATTCAATATTTTTCTGAGTCCTTTTCCTCTAAATATGGAGGATTTACTGGTCTGTTCAACCTCTTGCCCAGTTCTGCTTTTTTTATATGTACTAACACTGGCCTATGTATTTTAAAACACACACAAGCATAGTAAAAAAGAAAAATTGTTTATTAAAGTAATTACAAGGTCATGTAACTCACTCTCCATTATAAATATTAGTTATTTTACAGATAAAACATCAAGTGTGTTTGTGTAGGGGCTGGGGTTTTTTTATTTCATTTTTATTTTTTACCAAAAAGTGAAGTATTTTCCTCCCAGTATGAACATGTTTCTTACTCATCCACACGATCTTGAAAGTATTCATCCACAAGAGGAGATTTATCTTCTTCACATTCCTGTAAAAAAAAAAACAAACCCAGAAAAATATAAACCTTCCTGGGTTGAACACAGGAATCATTAGGGGACTTTGAAACAGGAAAAAATGCAGGAAAACATCCTTGTGATCTCAGTGGTCCTTTTTGGCATTTGAAGGTTAAAACTCTGTTAATTTTGAAAACCAATACTTTTAAACAACCATTGATCAATCTGCATATGCAAGATAATATTAAAGATTTTCATTTCTGTAACTAAATGAAGATGATACAAGCATTGTCACTGAAAGACTAAACATGGCTTATTGTGAACTGTACTAAGACAATAATTTATTAGCAAGGCAAAGAACATATTTACATTACAACTTCTATTATGGCTAATTTCTAATTTTTCATCTTCTCACCAGCAGTCCCCTACCTTTGGTTCCTTAAATTCCAGATCCTCTCCATACTGAATGGTGAAGTCGATGTGCTGCAGCACGATGTTGATGCTCTCCTCATCAGAGCGATCCAGGGGCAGGAATCGAACCATGCCATAGTCATCAATCTGCACAGGCAGTCACAGCATGTGGGCAGGGAAATGCAGAAGGTTCATCTCCATCACAGCACCCAAAGCCACTTCCCTGAACCACTCTTGTCTGGCTTCTAAAATAGCATTTAGTCACACTGCAAACCAATGGCAATTCCCTGCTCAGAACACCTGGCTACCAATCCTAAGTTCTACACAGCAGCAAACTCCCAAAATTGCCAAAAGAAGAAAATTCAAATAAAATGTATTGGCTATGATCCAAATATCAACAGTATCATATCAGTAATATCAATAATCTCATGCCAATCTGAAAAACAAAACCCAAATCAAAAGAAGCAAAAAGTGAAGTGAATTTTAGTGTTGCAGCTCAAAAGCAATGTACCTACCAATCCACATATAGATTTGGTCAGTTTTTTAAACCTTTTACTTTTCATTATATTTGTAGAATCTTCAATCATAGAATACATATCTGGATCCAAGTACCTGGAGAAACAAAGTCATCATCACCACTGAAAGTCTGTCATTCAGAAAGACACAACAGATCCAAGATAATTATTTACAGAAAAATCCAGAGATCAGTACAAACATGGAGCTATTCTTTTGACTCTGACTAAACTAAGCATCCTACCCAGATGTTTCAAGATTATTGTTGAAATAAACAAAATCCATCTTCTCCCATTCCAAATGAGTATGTTTTTAATTGTGGGAAACGTTAGACTCAACTTTCAGTGAAGTTTGCCTCGGTATATTGTACTACAGAGTAAATTATTTTCTTGGAACTTACTTTTCTATTTCCTTCTTGGCTTTCTTGCTCAGCAAATCCATTTTGGTCATGACGTTAATCTGTGGAATCTCCAAAGATATCATTGCACTGAGAGCTGCCAGGATTCCAGAGATAAACTTGAAGAGGATGAAAAATGATGTATTAAAGTACAGAAAAACAACACAAACACGCAGGACACTCAACCACAGGCCAGATCTGGTAATGAACATATGGAGCATGGACACAAAGCCATATGAGCAATCATCCTCTCTGCTGGAAAAAGGAGGTGCCAAGAATCCCCTCAATTTGTGGAGCCTCAGATATGGATCTGGCACTGAAAAGGGCATTAAGAAAACCCAAACCCTGCTTGGGACTAAATGGGGAAGGTGGCCTGCTTCTTCTTGGGGTCTGAGAAAGCCCTCGTGGAATCCCAGAAGAATTCAGCTTGAAGGGACTTGTGGAGGTTATCTGGCTCCTACATCTGCTCAAACAGAAGCACTCCAGGTCAGACCAGGCTGCCCTGGGGTTTGTCCAGTCAAGTTTACACCCCATGAATGCCTGTCCCAGTCTGACCACTCTCACAGTGCTGGCTGTCCTTACATCCATCTGGGATTGTCCTTGCTGTGTGTCCTTGGCTGTGATGACAGAACCAATCTCCCTGGACCTGACAATTTCTCCCCTGGGCAAACCCATCTCCCTGAATGGCTCAGACTTGTTGTTCTTCATAAAAATGAACTTTTATCAACAGATTTCAAATGGATACCTTGAAAGATTCCACCATGAACTGAGAATCCACAAGGAAAACTCCACAGACACGGAATTCCCACTGCTGCAGCTGCTCCACCAACTGCTTCATCACTGGCAGGTGTGTGTAGAGTTCAATCTGACCTGGGGCACACTCAGCATGTTAACAGTTGGAATGTGAAGCAAACAGAACAGTCCACAGTTATATGTAGACAGGAGAAATGCATTTAAATAAAAAGTGATAAGGAAATCCTCTTTTCAGGCAGCTCTGACTGTGTTTGGGTGAAGTGGTAAATAAATAAAAGGGTTTTTTTTCTCCTTTGGTCTCCAGTTAGTGTTAGTTTGCAGTTGCCACAGCTCATGATGATGCTACCAAACATCTGTGCAGTCATCCAGACCAGCCCAGGACCAAGTTCACTCCTGAGACACCTGAAAGTGACTCTGACAACTGTTAACAACTCAACAAAATGGGAATTATCACAACAGTCTACAGCCAAATTTTCCAATTTGCGAATTTTCCAATTTGTGAATTTTTCAATGCTTATGAAGAGCGATACCAAAACATTGTTGTGTGTTTACCTGGGCAATCAAACAACACATAGTCATCCTCCACGTGCCCGAGGCTCTCCTCCAGCCAGCTGAAGTTGTTGGCAAAGTATTCCATGCAAAACACCAAGCCACCATTGGGGCCAAACCTCAAGGACTCATCTTCCATGACATCGTCCACTTCTATCAGCTCACGGATGTCTGCAACAACACAAACAGCCCCAAAGGCAGGGGATGGGCTCTGCAGGCTGGGAATGGGCCCTGCAGGCACAGAATGGGCTCTGCGGGCACAGAATGGGCTCTGCAGGCACAGAATGGGCTCTGCAGGCTGGGAATGGGCTCTGCGGGCTGGGAATGGGCTCTGCAGGCTGGGAATGGGCTCTGCAGGCACGGAATGGGCTCTGCAGGCACGGAATGGGCTCTGCAGGCTGGGAATGGGCTCTGCAGGCACGGAATGGGCTCTGCAGGCACGGAATGGGCCCTGCAGGCTGGGAATGGGCTCTGCAGGCCGGGAATGGGCTCTGCAGGCCGGGAATGGGCTCTGCGGGCTGGGAAATCAGCTGAGGAAACCAACAGGACTTCACAGCAGTGCTGGGGGATCTCCCTGGCACAGCCAGCAGCCAAACACAACAGGTTATGTCCATGAGATCCACACAAACTACTTAATTCCCTAAGTAAATATATGCTAAATATCTCCCGGGACTTGTTTGTGGGGGTCTTTTGAGGGTTCCTGGTGACTGTCTGGGAAACATCACATCCCCCAGATTTTCCTCTTAAGGTCCTGGCTCCTCTAATGAATCTCTTCTGAAAGTATCTCAGCTGCTTGGCCAGGTCAAGATGCTTTCCTCATCATCTCCGTTCAGACACAAACACCGCTGCTGCCCTCACAACTGCGGCATCAACCACCGGCGCAGGTCAATACAGGCATTAAGCAGCAGCCGGCACAGGGCAAGAGGAGCCCCAAGAGCGCATTGATCTCTGCCATCCCTGAGCTCTGTTTGCTACCAGCCCAGAATTATTCACCCATTCAAGCACCACACGCTGGTTTATGGAAAGGCTTTCCCCACAGCTCCCCCGGCGCTGCACGGGCCCCGTTCCGGAGGAGCAGGGCGGCCGGGCTGCGCTCACCTGCCATCACGGGGTAGCTGAAGAGCTCGGCCGCCGGGTCCAGGTTCACCACCTGCACGGCGCGGCCCAGCGCCTCGCAGTGCTGCACCATGGTGGAGCAGTACGTGCTCTGCAAGGCACACGCGGCCGTCAGGAGCCGCCGGGGCTCTCCCGGGGCGCTCCCCGCCGCTCCCCGCTCACCTTCCCGCTGCCCGCCGGGCCCATCACCAGCTGCGCGTACCGGGGCATGGCCGCTGCGGCGCTCCGTAGCTCGGCCCGGAGCCGCGGCGGCTCAGCGCACGGCCCTGCCCGCCGCGCTACGGCGAGCCGGCGGGGTCAAACCGTGCACGCCCCTCTCGCGAGACGGCGGCGCTGGGGCGGGCGCACGTGCGCGCGCGGTGAGGGAGCGGGACCCGCCGCGGCCCGAGGGGCCTCCGGTAACACCGACAGCGCCCCCGGGCCCCCCCG